GAGGAGATGATAAATAACGGTTCGAAGCCGTTCTGGTTTGGCTCTTGACGGGGCTGACAATGTCTTCTGCTCTATGCATAGAGTAGTGCGACAGGTTGCATCTAGGTACTCGAGAAGCAACCAGATGATGCCAGACCTATTTATTTTAGTATAGATAAATAACATGTGTAATAACATATGTAAAAGTAATTATCTAGTAATAAAGATACTGACAAGACTGTCAAAGAATTAAAAAAAAAAAAAAAAAAAAATTTTTTTTTTCTATTGTATTTATAATATGCAAATATATTATAAATTATAAATCATAATATTATGATAAAATTATAAGCTCTTTGAGTTATATTGTAAAAGTTATAAAGATGTGAATATTTAATATCACTTCTCTTTGTTATATATATAAGAATAACAATTATTTGGCAATAAAAGTCAAAAATATGTATTAGAAACAATTATTTAATAATAGAAATTAGAAAATATTAATAATTTATATATAAAAAAAGTTAAAAATAAGCCAAATTCATCTTTTCCGCAAGAAAAATAATAATAACTTATCTTTAGCAATTGCAAGATTTTGCATATTATTATATATGTCTTTATTTAAGTTTTTTATTGTTGTAATCTTCTAGTTATATACATAATATTAGACTAAATTTTATATGATATCTAAATGCATATATACCTAATTGTTAAGCTTTTTAGTGCTTAGAAATTAGTATATGTTGATTTCTAAGCATATTGTTAACTATAAAATTTATGAATACAATATTATAGTTACAAGTAATATTCAATAGTTATAACTTAAAGAAATACAATTACAAAATAACAACATTTATACAGAAACAGGAAAAATTAATAATTAATACAAAATTTTATTTTCAATATTCTTAGTAATGCCATCTTTACACATATTTCATCTCAATTAGAACAGAATCGATAAAAAAAAAAAGTGAATAGAGTAGAAAAAAATAAGTAAATCAAAAAAAAAAGTCAGATAAAAAAAAATAATAAATCAAGAAAAAAAAAAAAAGGCCAAAAGAAAATGGTAAATCAAGAAAAAAAAAAAAAGCAAATAGGTTGGGTAAAAGAAGATATATTAAAGCAGAAATAAAAATAATAAAAAAAATATAATCAAAAAAAATGAGTCAAATGAGACAGAAAGAAAAAAATAAATAGAGTAAAAAAAAAGTATATGCAAAAAGATGGGCTAAAAGAAATGCAGTAATGAAACCAAAAAATTGGGCAAAAATAGTAGCCAAAAAAACACTAAAGCTAAACAAGAATTAGGATTATATTGCCTCACATTGAAAATTTTATATACAAAACCCCGAGAGTGTTTTAACTTAGTTATAACTCATATTGGTCTCTCAGAATTAATATTATTTATATACTTTTATTTTTAAAGGATTTCTATACAAAATTATAATAAAAAAATATACAATCTAATTTCTTTTTTATATATATACTTTGTTATTAATTATTATTTTAGATCTCATTTTAAATATTAAAAAAAAAAAAAATTAATTATTATTTTATGTTTTTTTTTTTATGTTTTTTTTTGTTTAACAAATGATTTTATTAACGTAGTAATTGTTAATTACTTATAACTTTTGCAGGTAAAGTATAACTTGAAGGTCAAGGGATTCAGAAGGATTCAGAGGGATTCAATTAATATTCTTATAGTACGGCATGAAAACTTCAAATTCTACTTAATACGCTTTGTGGGTTCACAAAAGAGATAATCTACCCGAGCTTCCGAAAAAAGTATTGTAAAACGTATAAAAAATTTTTTTATTCAATTGTGTAATGATCTACAAAATCGGGGCACTCGGGACGGTCCTACCTGTTATTTTCATAATTCCTGGGAACACCTGATAAAAATTGGCCGAATGATTTTTCAGCCGATTCGATTAAGTTTGTAATTTCGGCAGGCTGTTTTACATTATTAAATTTTCGATGGTGTGTCAATAAGTCTTAACAAGAAATATAAAAAATGTACTATATATTAATTAGACTTTTAAACTAAACATATTGCACGAAGTACATGTTAAAAGATGTATATAAATAAAATATTACTTTTACAAGTTGGTTCGTAGCCCTTCAATATAAGACTAATTTTACGTCAACCCAGAGTTCCCGGCAGTGATGTAAATTGGATCGGCGCAGTAGGCGCAGCGCACATAGATTTAAATTTGCGCATATATCAGTGCTCTCCGTATATATAACGCGCGTATAAATTTTTCTTTGTGCATATTTTTTTTTGCATTTGAAATTTTTTGAATTTATAACACTGGTTCCCGGATTATAATTCATACAGTACAAATACCAATCAGGTTTTTTTTTCATTAAGGTTTTAAAATATTTTATATCATTCACGTTCAGTGAACATGGTTCTGAAAGTGACGGAAGCTTTTCAATACATCCATATTTTTGAAAGTTGAGAACTTGGCTTATAAAAGAGATGCTGACACTTAAACGTTTGGCAACTTTTCGAAATGACAGACCTTTTAATTTTTTTTTTTTTTTCAAATATTTTCCAGCGAATGTACTTTGAAAGTATATTCAATAATATTTATATTAGTTACCTGATCTTAAATTACATATATATGGGAGATATTTTGAGTAATTTAACTAAATTTTTTAAAATAGAATAATTATTATGAACATTCATATACCGTTAATCACTGCTTAAAGTACCCGGGTCTTATTTGAGAATTTCGTTTTTTTTAAAATTGAATTGTACGGGGTGCTATTCACAAATTCAGCAATCTTTGAAGGCTTTAATTAATATTGTAATACAGTATTCATAATTATTATGGAGATCCATAATAATAATTATAAATAATTCGTAATACGTATATAATTATTTTTGACTTAAAAAATTTTTTTACTAAATAAGATTTGATCGACCCCACCAGTATTAATATTAATTTGGACATAATTTTTATAAACACGAACTTTCAGTAACAACAACGCTAAATTAGATTATATTACGATTAGCATTAACGATATCAACGTAAATATTTTATATTACTTAGTGTCTTTACAACTTGATTTAACCTCAAAATTTTTCTTTACAATAAGCTCTACAAAGGTATCAGTGAAATTGAAAAATGTGGCAACTTAGATTTATTATAAAAATATATATCTACAAAAATTTAAAAACCGTACATAGCAAATTAAAAAAAAAAAAAAAAAACTATATATATAAGGTAAAATGTAAATAGTACCAATAATTATCTTTTAACATCAATCTTGGTATTTATTATGATAAAAAAATTATATAAAATTAGGGGGGCATAAAAAAAAAAAAACCTAAAATTATAATAATTTACAAAATACAGTACAAGAAAAAAAAAAAAAAAGTCTAATAATTTGTTTGTTGCACAGAATTTATGATATCGTTATCTGATTGAACCATTTCAACTTGTATTGATGGTGATATTATTTTTTGATTTTTTAATTCTTCTTTTCTAATTTTTTTAGCTTTTTTCTTTGCTTTTTTGTCGCTTTCCCTTATTTGTCTAACGATGTCTAAATCATCCGGATACCACCATTGCTTGACAAAGGTTATTACATATCTTGGTAAACCAGCTAATAAAATTGAAAATGCCATACCAAACCAAAATGTACCCTCACTAATTAATTGTTGACCTATTCCATATATTGGACTTTCTGAAAAAGCACCATAAACAAGAATATAACTAAAAATGAAAACAATTTCACTAATTATTATTGTCCATACTATCCAATTCCAGTGATACGTGTTAAAAACTACAACAAGGTTTGCAATAACAATTACACTTAAAGCTACCGAAGTTGAAAATTCGGTGCTACCAGCATCATACCCTTGAAGCATAGTAACATTAGTGGATAATGAATATACAAAATAAAACGTAAAATATACAACCAATGATTGCCATATTCCATCGAGAAAATATATTGCAAATAATTTTTTAGAATATCGCATTCTTTTTATTCCCAAATTATAAATGCTTGGATACTTTAAGCAATATGACGCAGTAACGGATTGATCGATCGTTCCTATAAAAAAAAAAAATATACACATATATATGAGTAAATTTGTCTAAAGTGAGCAAAACTGAAATAGACTTTAATGAAATACCTAAAACTACAACAGGAGCGACAGTAAAAAGCATATTATATAATTGCACAAAACTGTAATCATAGAAAATATTGGCGGAGAACCTAAAAGTTTGAAATTACTATTAGCAAGCCACTAATAAATGTACAATATTAATGAGCAATCGTATATAAAAAATACGTACATGCAATATATTTGGTACCATAATACCGGAAATACCCATATTACATTTTTATAAAAGAAATTTAATATCATCTCTGCAATGCGCATATAGTCCCAATGACCGTGTACAAGTAAAAGTTTCTTAAGATATCGAAATTGGGCAATATTATAATCAGCTGCCATTGCTGCTTGCATTCCTATATAATTAAAGGAATATAAAATTTTTTAAAAATTTGTTCAGAATTTTGTTCAAAAATTTTGTTCAAAAATTTTGTTCAAAGATATTACCTTCTTGTCCTGAAATGCCAACACCAACATTAGCAGCTTGAATCATGCTTACATCATTTGCACCATCACCTATGGCTAACGTTGTAGATCTTTTTCCTCTTCGTATTAATTCGACCACCAGGGCCTTTTGTAAAGGACTAACACGACAACATATTACAGAATGAAAACGATCACTTAATTCAAGTATTTTCATACGTGCTTTTTCATCGTCCAATAGATGAGTTAAAGCAGAACCATCGACTATAAAAGCATGAGTATCATCAGGATGTATGGGTTCCGTTTCATCATGTGGCACGGTATCACCAGTTATCAAAGATGCATAAACATTATCAAGTTGTTTTTGGACAGTATCTTTTTTTGAGCCTTTTACAATCCAAAGTCTCATATCTTTTGTCAATAATTGAGCTGCAAATCCGATATTAATAGCTGTTTCTAATTTATCACCTGTCAAAACCCAAATTTTAATTCCCGCTCCTCGAAGTCGTTCTATACACTCTGGAACACCCTCTTGAAGTTTATCTTCAATTGCAGTGGCACCCAAGAGTATAAGCTCCTTTTCGATCTCTTCGGCACAAGCATCAATTTTGGATGAACGTTCATTAATAGCAGTTGATGCTTCTTGATATTTTTTTGCCCAAGAATTATAATAGGATTCGTCTAATACTCGATATGCCACAGTCAATGTTCTAAGACCTTTAAATAACATGACAAATGAATAATCGTTTTATTAAAAATTTCTATTGAAAAAATGAATTAAAGTTGTGTATATATGTATAACAATAGATAAACTTACCATCACTAGAAAAATTATCAATATCAGTTGAAGTTTTTTCAATTAATTTTTCTTGACCATCGGCCAGACGATCAAAGATAACGTTATCAGCACCCTTACAAAATAGT